TGACTTATCTTCGTGCTACCAGTTCTTTATTGTAATTGCTTTAAAAGTGAGGGAGAAAAGTTGATACTTGTTTGGCATGAGATTTTGTGCAGCAATTCCTGGAATTAAATTTAGAATGTGTTATTGCTTTGCGGCTTTACAGTTTGTCTTTAAATAGGCCATGGAAGACTTGTGACAATCTTTAATTAAAAAAGAGGTATATGATGAATCTAAGAAGATATCAAAGCTGGAGACTGAAAACTATCTGATCTGTCTTTATGAAACCCACAATATATGAACGGGTGTTCTCTGGAAATGGTAGAAGATAAGCTAAAAATGAAATGCATGGTGGGTAACGAAATTCTGGAATTTGTTGGTATACCAGGTTGTGTAAGAAATCATGCAGGCAGCAGGGAAGGATGGTGCCCCCTGACATCCCATATTTCAGTCTCTGGGGACATTGGAGCAGGAGACATCCTAGAGAGAAATGCACTGCTGATAGCACTCAGATTTGCAGGTGCCTAAAAAGCATCTAATAGCACTCATTAGCCAAATAGGTCATTGCTTTAATCCAGTAAATAATTTTTTTAATTCTTGTAATTCTGTCTTAGTTGGACTGCAAAAAAAATGGAGATGTTGCACTGGGAAGATGCAATGCTCTATAAAGATATGCGATGTCAGCAAATGTTTCATTGCTCTCATGACCTTACCAGTTTTATCTGTGTTGGTTGGCCACAGAATCACAGAATCTAAGGGTTTGGAAGGAACCTCAAAAGTTCATCTAGTCCAGCCCCCCTGCCACAGCAAGGTCACCTAGAGCACATCACACAGGAACACATCCAGGCAGGTTTTGAATGTCTCCAGAGAATTGAGACTCCACAACCTCTCTGGGCAGCCTGTTCCAGTGCTCTGTCACTCTCACAGTAAAGAGGTTTTTTCTGATGTTTACATGGAACCTCCTGTGTTCCAGTTTTACCCACTGCCCCTTGTCCTGTTACTGGACATCACTGAAAAAATCCTGGCTCTGTCCTCCAGACACTCTCCCTTAGCATATTTGTAAACATGGATGAGGTCGCCCCTCAGTCTCCTTTTCTCCAACCTAAAGAGACCCAGCTCCCTCAGCCTTTCCTCATAAGGGAAATGTTCCACTCCCTTAATTATCTTTGTGGCTCTGCACTGGACTCTTTCAAGCAGTTCCCTGTCCTTCTTGAACTGAGGAGCCCAGAACAGGGTACAATATTCCAGATTTGGCCTCACCAAGGCAGAATAGAGGGGGAGGAGAACCTCTCTTGACCTACTAACCACACCCTTTCTAATGCACCCCAGGATGCCACTGGCCTTCTTGGCCACAAGGGCACATTGCTGGCTCATGGTCATCCTCCTGTCCACCAGGACCCCCAGGTCCCTTTCTCCTACACTGCTCTCCAGCAGGTCAGCCCCCAACCTGTACTGGTACATGGTGTTGTTCTTCCCCAGATGCAAGACTGTCCACATGCCCTTGTTGACTTTCATCAAGTTTCTCCCTGCCCAACTCTCCAGCCTGTCCAGGTCTTGCTGAATGGTAGCACAGCCTTCTGTGCTCCTCCTGTGTTCTGTGCACACTCCTCCCAATTTAGTGTCATCACCAAACTTGCTGAGGGTACACTCTGTTCCCTCATCCAGGTCTTTGATGAAAATGTTGAATAGTACTGACCCTTGAGGGACTCCACTAGTCACAGACCTCCAACTAGATTCTGTCCCATTGATCACATTCACATGAAAAACACAGAGCACTATTGGACTACAGGATAGTTTCTTCTCAGAAAGGAGAAGCCAGCCCTGGCACTCTCTTCTGGCCTCTCTCATCAGTAAGGATAGGGTTTGGTCATTTGCAGAAGTTGTGGAGATAATGGGGTTTTTTTCTGGGAATGTGTCCTGATGTGTTATTTGTCTGGGCAGATGGTACCTGGACTGTGAAACTGTTGGTAAATTGGCCAAATTATACTGAATTTGGTCCAGTAAAAGGGGAATAATTTAGGCCTTTAAGTAGATCTCTAAATAGTTAACACTGAAGTAATTATCCAGTGTAATCTTTTTAATGGTGCAAAAGTCTACCTGGAGACAAAGCCACAACCGAAGATGGAAACCTGAGTTTTTGTCAGGCTATCTGAGAAATGCCTTCCCTCCTGAAACTGGCAGATGTACCCTGCAGAGCTGCTTGACAGTTGTCCATCATGCAAATTGACTTTGAGATAAACTTGCTTTTTCTTCTCCTTGAATTAATTCACAATACTTTTTTGTATCTTCTTCAACTGGGGAACAAAAGAACAAGAAATCCATTTGAGCTGACAAGTAAATTGTTATATAACTTTCCAAACCTTAAGAGAGAGCTGTTGTAATTATACTGTGGGTTTTACTTTTTTATAGCTGTAAGTACTAATTCATATAACTCCAAAGTGAATTACATGTTTTAATTGTTTATATTACCTCTGGGCTTTGATGCAGTGCTCAATAAAGTCACTCTGTAATTATGTTGAAGTTATGGCTATTGTTACATGAATATCGTATTGCCAGAGCATCACCTCAGCAGCTAGTCTGTCTACATGAAACATATTCTTATTGTCAAATAAAATGTAATCCAATTAGCATTTTGTAAAACTCCAAATGCTGTTTTCCATCATGTTTCTGCTAATTTAATATGAGTTTTCTTTTCAAGTGCCTCCTCTGCCGCCATCTCTTAAATTGTCTGAGCCTTACTGTTATGCGTATTGTGAAGGAGAAAAGAAAAGTTACTCTTTGAAAAAGTTACCTGTTTCTTGCATTTTTAGATCTGCCTGATACAAACTCAGGTTTCTGGAAGATGTATTTCTTTTTTTTGAAATTATTTAAACACTTTCTGAAATGCAGAAAACAGACTTGCAATGTCCTAAGGAAACTGGTCACATTAGGCAAATACCTGCTTATGTGCCAAGAGCCCGTGTAGATGTTTTGTGTACTGGGTACACTCTCTGGTGCATTAGGTGTGTAAGTGGAATGGTGATGTGAACAGACATAACACGAGCAGAGCTTCAGCAGTGCGTCCTTAAAGCCAGCCACATTCTGCAGTGCTGCAAGTATAGATTTGATTACCATTAATGACTGTTCTTCTGAATGAGCTTTGGGCTGTAGCATTTGTCTTGAATCCTGTCTGATTTTACCTGAGTACATTCAGATGTTTACTGAATTGAGGCGTTGATGTGCTGGCCTCCTTTAAGCTAAACAGTTGTTTGAAGATAATAGCCCTTCATTTCAGTTTTCTGTATCTGCAGTGAGTATTTGCATGTGGTTTCATTTTGGGGGTTGATGTGTTTATTGTCTCTGTGGACAATAGAATTGGGCAATGTAGGAAGGTGAGTTTCAGAAACAAATGTGAGAACCAGCCAGACTTGGTAGCAACCATCATTTTTTTAGCTGATGAAGTTTTTTGAACTTAGAGAGTTTACAAAGACCTGCTTTAATTTTACTTCATTTTTAAAGATTGGTATTAATAAGATTCACCCAAAGTTACTGGCTAATCAAGTCAGGGATTTAATGAGAACTTAAATGTAATGTGGGTGCAGTAAAATTCTACTTGAAATGAGTGAAATACCAATGAATAAAATTTGCTTTCTATATCACCAAGTGCAACTCTGCTATGAAAATCAAAGCAGTTAATAATTACAAAGCATTTTTAAACATTTCCATAGCCCTACAAAATCTCATTACCACATTTCTAGGACGCTAGGCACACATCCTGTATGAGCTCTTACTCCTTCATGGGCACTTGTCAGACTACTTTGTGTTTCTCTTGAAGACTTCCACACATTTGAATAGCAAAATATGCCAAAACTGTGTGAGCAGAGGAGAAGCTCTCCTTCCAAATATTGCAATGGTGTTGTGTGAATAGTGCCATAGGGCCACGTCTAACAGCTTTTTGTCATGCAAAGAAATTAATAAAAAATACATCTAGACTATATGTAGAAGGAAGAGCTTCCATGATGGTGTTTCCTGGTGTTATAATCAACATAATAGAATGTGGTCACATGTTAACCTTTTCAACATCATTAACAGTTCTTTTGGAAAAAGTTAACTATGGCTGTAACATAGAGATGTTAAATTAACCACCTTTGGAGTTCTCTAATTTTTGAAGCTGGGATTTTGTATTTCATAGGAAGCAGGGCTTCTGAAGGAAAGATTGATAAGGGGGAATTGTTTTTTCATAGAAAACGTCATATAAAACATTACAAAACAGTAAGACTTGGTGGGTTATGTGGGTTTTACATGAACCTTGGGAAGCCCATGTTTGCTTGCTGAATCAGCAGATGTGGTGTCCTGGAACTTGGAAAACTTATCAACAAATACATACCCTTTCCCCAGGTAATATGGAGAGTGATGGCTTCTGTGTTTGTGTTGTGGTGAAGGATATCCAAAACATTGCAACCAGTAACAATAGTCATGTTCTTTTTGTCATGAAGTGTTGACACTGATAGCAGAGTGCCAGTATGTTCCCCTTATGTGTAAGGGAGTAAAGATTTTTCCTTCAGTTTCTTTTTTTATTCTAGTTTGCAGTTTTCTTTGAAAGTAATCTGGTGGGTTGCCTGAGGAGGAGTCATTTTGCTTCCTTGATGAAGATGTATTAGCTGTTCAAATACCATGAGAAGTGCCAGAAGCCCATATGCCTCACCTGACTGCTTTCATGTCAGAAATCCTTCTGCTGGGAGAATGGGATTGCACCAATAGCAACCATGCTATTTGGCACACGAGCCATTCCTTGTGCTGAGCATGTGTCCTGGAACTAGGCTGCAGGCCCCATGTCAGGAAACATTTTGTGCCCACTGTCATAATAGAAAAATGACCTCTCTGTAAGTGAGTGCCATACGTGCACAGCTGTGCATCAAACTGAACTCCTGACTGTGTTAGCTGATACAAAAGGCTTGAAAACAGATGCCTCTTCACCTGTATTATCAGATGCTGCTATATGCTATACATCAAATACTCACCTAGTGCAGTAATGTAGCTTCAGAATGCCTCTCACCGAAAGAACAGCTCATGGATATTGTCCAGGAACAAAAAGTCCAATGTACTTCAAGACAGTGGATGGCTACTTGCTTGTTCTGGTTTCCCAGGAGGAGAGCCTGGTGCAAGAGGTAGCACAGGCTGGAGCCTGTTCCCAGCAGGCAGGTTAGGTGTGGCTCTTCTATTTTGAGGTTTAGTGAACGTTACCAGGTACAGATGTGATCACACTGTCCCATTTCGCCTCCAGGCCACCTGTTGTCACCTGCATTGTTTGTTCCACAAGCACATACCTCACCAGTGGCATGATTTGTTCTCAGTCTCTTTGGAAGATTTGAAATTGAAACAGTTTATTAATTTCATGTCTATAAAACTGGTGGTTGTTTAAGGCTTTTTCTTTTTGAGCTTCTGGCTTGCTGGTGGAAGTGAATGCTTCTGACTCAGGCAGGGTCCTAGAAATTTTTCTGTATGTATATTTTGGTTTACAGTCAAAACATGCTATGATTCAGAGGTACACAGAAACAAAAATACCGATACACTGACTCGATATTTTTCAATCTTTATTTAGGTACTCCCTTTCCCCAGCCAGGTGGTCTACAACAGAGTTGGAAAGTGTGGGAGTCGAACTGTGGTTTTGCTTTTGAGAATTTTGTCAGAGAAACATGGATTCAATCTGGTTACATCTGACATCCATAACAAAACAAGACTGACGAAAAATGAACAGGTAAGTTACTCCTGCTGATCTGAGATCCAGTTTTCTTACTGTTTGTGAAACTAAGAAGCAAAGGTATATGCCAGCAGAAATCATATTGAAAACGTGTACTGCTACTTAGACCTGAGTAATCAGCCAGAACTCATCATCCTTGTTAAGTGGCTTTAGCTAATAGGAGAAATGGATGGTAGAGCCAAGAGCAACATGATGTGGAAGCTAACCAGAAAATGTAGCTTTCAGTGAGCCAGCTCTTGAATTTAGTCAGCAGTTGGTGCAGCAGAAGCAAGAAGGGTTAGTAGAACTGAAGTTAGGTGCTAACAGATTCTGGGAATTACATTAATGTATCTGCAGGGCACGGCCATTTATCATAAAAGCAGGCCAGCTTATTCAGACCTAGCTTGGATGTCTTTAAGCAGAGCAGGAATAAATAATAGCTAACAGTTTTTGTAGGGTTTTTTTCTTACTTCTGAATTTCACTTCCTGTAATGACTTGCTTCAAAAAGTGGTTTCCCATGGCCGTGCTAATTCATGTTGCTGTAATCTGACTCGTCCTTGATCCTATCTCAGCCTCTTGCTCATTTGTCTTTTTCATGTTACCACACAACCCTCACTAAAACAAGTAAAAAATATCACATGAAACTCTTTACCCAGACTCCCTGTTTCATGTTCCCTTGAAGATGTAGAGGGCATTATTTTTGCAGCTTTGATTCCACAAAAGATCCAGTTATTTAATTTCCCCTGTATTTAGAGTAACTGTGCTCTGTTTGAGTATCACTGCCATCAGTAGGCTTTGATGTGAGTAATACACAAAGCCTCAGGCTCCAGAGTGCTCATGGCAGGTGCACTTGTTGCCCAAAGCTGCTATTTCGATCTGCTGATCAGGTGGATGCTGCAGGAACTCCTACGCCGCTCCTAGGAATAGCAGCCTGCAAACCACTAAGAGGATGTATGGGATGGACAGAATACAGACGTGGGCCTGCCAGTGGCCTTGTGCTGTGATTGGGGGCAACTTATTTGTAGCCTGTTTACAAGCATAAGTTTGTTATTTTAGATACAGAAGTTCATTCCGAACGGAAATCTGGGAGCAGATACTGCTCCTGCAGGTCCCACTTTCCTCCTTTCCAAGGTGGCCACTGGCATCCCAGCAGCAGCCAGCTTGCCTGAGCCTGCACAGTGCTCAGGTTCAGTCCCCAGCAGGGCCAGCTGGCCAGGGCTGCCAGCCCAAAACTTCTGTGCACAGCAGGGTATGGTGCCCCAGTGAAAGGCTGTGGGGGGCACAGAGCCCCAGGGAAGCGGCAGAGCCCTGGGCTGCAGCTACTGAAGCATCCCTCTGTGTGTCCCACTGACAGCGCTCCAGCATCTGGGGAGTTTATCAGGTCCAGGTCAAACTATCCTGTGCTGTGTTTTGGCTGTGACTGCTTTTGTGTTTCAGGTTGGTTGGGTTTTGTTTTGACTGTGTCCTTCAGCAGATTTCACTGGCAGATGCTTTCCTACAATCACCAGTTTTCACCCTCATCAGCTACTTTGTTTCAGTTCTGTTCTGCCTTTCTCTGGAAGTTGGGTTGTACTCTGTTAAACAGGATACAAGATCACATCTGAACATTCTTCTGTGCTTTAGTCCGTGGTCTAAAGATTCTAGAGAGGCCCAGTCTTGCTTTTAATGCAGCCAATACATTGACTGAGGATAAATAACTGCCTTTTTGGAGCCTTTTTGCACTCCAGAAGCTGGTAGATTACTAGACAGCAAATGTGGAAGAGCACAGATGGTGCTGGATGTATTGCTACAGAGCTGATGATTTACTCTATAGATTGCCCTACTTTAACTTGAGTCACTTTAATTTATGGCTTATTTACACAGTGACAATAGGTTCATAATTTAATGACTACTTTTTGCTGAAAAGTGCCTTCGATTGCCAGGAAACATGCCTGGAGACAGTAACTGTTCTGTTGTTTGGGGCATTTTTAGTTGTCTTCTCATTTTTTATGAGCAGAATATAGAAAAATGGATTATTTCTCCCACCTTCAGTATTGTGTACACAAGAGGTAGTTAAAAGTTTCAGGCCATAATGAATGGTCTACAGGCTCCAGGCATTGGAAAGAGAGAAAAGAGAGCTGGGCTGGGCTGTAGGCTTCTATTATGAGGACAGGCTTCTTGCTTGAGATGATGCATCTCACTTCCTTCTGTCATTTATCTCTTCTGTGTTTGGTTAAAGCCCTGATCCAGCCAAGACTCTTCTGTAAATATTTAGCTTGTTCAGTCTGCTATTGTTAAATAAAATTAAGCACGTAGGTATTCTTAATGACAAAAGAGATTGCACATAACTGGAATCCATATTTTCATTCCCTTTTCCGGTCTCCTTCCTACTAAGAAATTTTCTTGAGTTATGTGTGACTGCCGGCAATTAGAAGGGCTTTTGAATATCTGTGAGCATAAGGGAATGAGTTCTGGAAACTGATGTTAGTCTGTACTATACCATTTGCTATAATATTTCCATGTAAATTAAATACAGAAAATAATATGTAATATTCATGTATATAAAGTCAATCTAATTGATGTGGCCTTAAAATGACACACAAACTGTTGGAAAATGTATTCTTCCCTTTCCCTGACTTCCTCCCCACCCCCATTTTTTTGCATTCAGAGAAATAAGATTGAGTATGCTTATAGATATACAGATATCAATCACATACAGGAGTAATTTATAGGTTACCCTCGTATTGTTTCTTTCTACCACCCATCTTTCTGGCTCTGCAGCCAGCTTTATTTATAATTCCAGTTTAACACACTAGAAATGCTTTACTAATTTTTCTTAAATGCTTTTAAAGACAGAAAATTGGTCATAGCAGCTTGAGGAGCTGAAGAAATTCTGGAAACTATTCCAAATTTTTGAGAGCTGAAAATTACAATCTACTTTAATTCCTGTGAGGAGTTCATGAAAATGAACACCAAAATAAAAGTGATATACCATATACCTGTAGGTACTTGTGCCTCCTGAACCCTACATGCTTTTAGTAGAGACAGAAAGCAGTAGTAGAAGAAAGACAGATACAGAGATGTTTGTGTCCTAATTGTATCAATGTTAGGGGAGACCATAGTGTCATCCATCTGACCTCACTCAGAAAATCCCAGGTGCCTCAGCATTTTCATACATTTTGACCCTAAATTCTCTTGGTGAAATACAGCAGCTAAAAAAACTAGTAACATTTTGGCTGTCTGGGTGGGAATATTATCCAATATCCTTTTTCTTCCCAGTAGAATTTACCTCTGGCAAATCCTGAACCAAACAGGACTGCTCTGAGCAGTTAGTGCAGGGTGCTGGCCGGTTGCAGAAGAAGGGAGGAAGGTGTCCTTTCTCACAAGCCTGAGTTGACGTCTTGGGCAAGATCAATGCTGTGGCTGGAGCAAAGCCATCATCCACGTTTCTCCCCTTATGGGTAGGGCTCCCATCCAGTCTCTCCCAGAGTCATTTCACTATGCCACCTGCTGGAGTATTATTTACAATGCAGCAACAGTGAAGTACAAATATGTGGGCAATGCTGGGCTATTGTGATTTGATTTCTTCAGTATGGCCAGCTAAGATCCTGCAGTGGTAGTGTAGGACAGTAGACAAGGAAAAGCCTTTTCCCCTTGGAATGTTGCCTCTTGGTCTACTTGCTCACATGGGCTTTAAGATTCAAAAATAGCCTGTGAATTACAGAATTGTGTCTCTTTGTGGATCTGGTTGTCTTTGAAATCCCCATTTAAAAGTTCAGTGCAGAAAATTAATTTTGGAGAAAAATGTAGAATAAAAGTTTAAGCAAGGACTCACAGTGGTAGAAAGATGTTATGCTAGGGAGCAAATCAGCATTTAGACTAAAGGCTCTGTTCCTTACAATTAACGGGTGTTTGAGAGGGAAGGGTGGAACGACAGCGAATGTGTGTTGACCACACACAGAGATCTTTCCAGCCGCTTGTCATGTCTTGATGTCTGTGCAGACTCCTGGAGGTTGGTGTGCATGCTCCCCTTCCTCGGGCAGCACAGTGCACCCAGTGCTTTTGGTTTGCTTTTGCCCAGCAGTGGAGCTGACGTGGCTGGGCCATGCTCTAGGCTCTGCTGGTGGGTACATGAGCACAGGGTGCCACCACCTGCCTCTTCCTGTATGCTGGCATTTCCCTCTCCTTGGATCCCTGTTTAGCAGCATTCACTCTCTGGTGCAATTTAGTTAATTTCAAAAGCAAATTGCTATCTGTTTTAGCACTATTTTGCTGAAACAGCCTTACTCTCACAGGAGAGCTTAGGGCAGCAGTGAGAATGAGGAGTGGCTCTTTATGGGCCCTTACCCTAGCAGGTGTGTGCTCCTTTCAGGCTTCCTCCAGATATTTTTACAGCTTCTCCCTCCAAACATGCATATGTGCTGGTTCATCTCTCCCCTAACAGTGTTTGTGGGAGTAGTTTATCTTCTGCTGTTTTTGCATCTTCATCTCTTTTCAAACTTAAGTTGGTTTTAGACCGTTTCGTAGATTGCCTGTGCTTGTATATGTATCTCTCCCTCATTACTCATTCCATACAAAGGTACTTGCTTTCCTCAGCTCTGTTCTCTGCTCACTCTTCCTCTCTGTCCCCTACACCAATCATCTTGTAAAAAAACCAACAACAAAACAACAAAAAACCCCAAACAACACAAAACAAAAAACCCAAACACGAGAGAAAAAAACAAGAAAACAAAAACACTAGAGACCTTGCTCTTCTGGGAGATGTTGGAAATTTTTTTTTTTCTTTTTTTTTTTTTTTTCCTTTATCATCATCTTAAAAGGAGGAGTGAATCACTAGGTATTCCTGAGCAATATGTTTGGCTTGTTAGATGGAAATCAGTTCAGCACAGTGGGATCAGACAGAGTCCCATGGGAAATATGGCCACAATTTGCATGTGGCCACGAGCCATTACAGTTATTTATTTTTCCCTCCTGACATCTGTGTGTTGTTTCAGTTAAGCCTTACTTACCCTTTTGGCAGAATTATTAAAAGAAAATTTTTTTGCTTGTTTGTTCATACACATATTGTAGCTTTATCCACATCTGCTTACAAGTCCAGTGATCATGAAATGTCTAAATATGAAGGTACTCTAAGTCAAAACAAAATTCTCTGTCTGCTTTGGAGTGAGCTGTTATCATAGCTTAAGACTGAGTTTGGTAGCAAGAGATTAAAAGAAAGAGCCAGGAGCCAGATGTTGTCCTGCTCCTCATGCATCTTTCCAGACTCCCTTTGCTCCTGAGCCAGAAGTGCCTGTGCTAGTCCAGCAGCAGGTTGACAGGAGCCTGACACTGACATGGAGTGAAGTGCAGTGGGAAAGGTGGCAGTGGTAAAAATGTGAATCCATCTGGTACTGGCAAATTGGTACCAGCCCCAGGGTGAGCTGAGGGGCAAGGGAGGCATGTGTGGGGACTCTCTAACACGTCTGCCCACACACACATTGATCTGGTGGTATTATATTAAAGTTGCCCCTTTTTTTTAACTCAGTGATGTTACTTTGTATTAATAGGCTATCTCTACATCTCCATATTTGAATTATAATTATGTTTTTTCATTTATTCCAAGATGGGATTACAGTGATGAGCGTAGTGGCATGAATAGAGCTTTAATCCCATATCAATAACTTCCTTCTTCCATCCTCCTTCAGTCATGCAGATAGAGTAACATCAGTAAAATGCTAATGCAATGTAAAGTTTTAGACAGTTCTGAGAATTTCACTTCTCCTGTAACCTGTCTGGGTAGAACAACAACAAAAAAAAGCCAACTGAGGTGACTGATACCCAGCCTCTAGAGTCTCCCCTTGTCTCATTCTGCAAGGCAAATTAATATCATTTTTTGGCAGAGAGTGTTACGAGTCCTAAAGAAATCTTGGCTTATTCTTTTGCTAGAAAAGCCTTTATCTCTTCAGAGCATTAACAAACAATACTCAATTACTTAGTGCCAATTCTTGCAAAGTGTCCTGGGCTTCCTACATCTGGACAAGCTCTGCTCTTCAGTTTTATGAATTTCTTGTTCATACCATTTATATTGTACTGAAGGAGCTGTATGAAGACCGGTCTGCACCTCAATTAAACAGTTCAGGTATCACTAACTGAAGCAGGGGGCTATTCCCTTTCTGCCTTTTTTTTTTTCCCTTGTTTTAAAAATCACACATCTCTCTGTTTTCTTATTTCTCTTTTGTTTTCGTATTGTCTTTATACTGGTGATCTCGTCTTCATTATGTTCCATTTCCTTGCTTTTGCAGCCTTTCTCAGACCTAATATAGTCTGATATAACATACCTTGATACACCTCAGACCTAATATTCCTTGATATACAACATTTATAGCTAATACACGTTGGTGTACTTGAACTAGTTTGACAGGAGAAGGCCTAGACTGAGAACACAGACAAACTGAACTATTTACTTCAGTGTTCTTCATACATGTATGCATATAAAATTGTTGAAGGCAAAGTAGGGAAAAGTATATTAGCAGGTGCACCGATTTTATTTTGTCCTAAAAGTTAAATGGCTATAGCTTGTGCTGTCTGAAAGAAAGTAGGAGGTTATATGTCCTAGGAAAAAATGGAGAGTGAAAGATGGATAAGAGGTAGTAAGATGTGACACACAGCTTAAAAACCATGGCAAAATACCAGTGTATCAAAACCAGGAAAGAGAAGAAAAACTATTGACAATTGCTGTCCCTTAAATGTAGTTTAGTATTTGTTATGACGTGGTTTATCTTGACCACATAGCAGGCTGGATCCCATATTTTCCCATATTTTGTCTATGTCAGCTATAGCATTCAATTTTAAGAAACGGATTTATTTTTTTTTCATTAATGTCTCCATAATGGTGTTTAAATTTAGCACATGAATTGATATGACTCACCAGAACGTTTGGTTCACGTTCCCTTAGCTCGTTTTATTTTTCCCTGTTGATGTATTTCTGCTACTTTCTATATTACTTTCTACTACCCAGTTTGTAAAATCTGTAACCCTCTAATTTCATCTGCATTTGAGCACAGAACAGAAAATCGAAAAATAGATCTTAGGAGATTAATAGTGAGGAAGATTAATTAACAAGGATGCCTTGACTCTAGCATGATGATGCTCCTCTAGACACTTTCAGCTTACTTTAAAGCACAGATAGAACTCACTTTACACAACATAGATACTCATCTCCATGGTGCACAGTCTTCACTATATGCTGTTTAAATTATTCCATTTTAATGATCTAAAAATTTAAATAATTTAAAAAATAAAATTAAAATGGTGTGAATGTGCCTGAAGTAGAATTTAGCATCATCTTTCTAAAAGTGCCCATCCACTTTTTACTCTTAATTTGCTGTAACAGTAAAAGGAATGGTGAGTGCTGATTTCTGTATTTAAGCACACAAATCAATCAGTGTTCTGGCAAGGTTGGCAATTTTTATTGCTATATGAAATGGTCATTGGCTCAGCTCCCATTTTCTATTATGGTTTCAGACATCTGACGTTTTGGCATTCTGGTGGTTAGAGCCAGTGTCTTCAGAGGCAGCTGCAACTTGCAAAGCTCTAGTGCAGATTTAGGCAAGGGTTAGATTTTTCCTGTAGTTGATACCTTTCCTTAACCTGATGCCTGCTTTTGGAAGTGCGTAAGGTCCTTGATAGCAGGATAGTGTCTGCAGCTTAAACTTTCTTGCTTACATGTGAAGTAACAGTTGTTCTATCTTGATGACAGTGTTTGGGGTGGATGGTGGGGAAGGAGTTCTTGAGCTATTTGGACTTTAAAATCACATCATCAGATGTTGTTTGAGAGTTGTCTTTTTCTCAAAACGTGCGTTGTTCTAACATGGAAAATTTGATTTTTTAATTCTTTTTAGATGGAATTGATTAAAAACATAAGCACTGCTGAGCAGCCCTATTTATTCACTAGACACGTTCATTTCCTCAACTTCTCAAGGTAAGGCAATTTTTTTCAGTTAAAAGACTTTTTCATTGATTTCCGTTAATTGTAATAATTGAAATATTTCCCCTCTGTTTTTACATATGAACAAGATGATGGACTTTTCTTTTTCCTCCTTTCTGTCACTGAAGTCACATTCAGCAGTTGGAGTGGCTTTTTTTCCTATACTCTCGTTGCTACAGAAAAGTTATGTACAGTGTATTTGTGAAAACCCAGGAAGCTACTGCATGCCTTTGCCTCCGAGGTGATCTTGGTTTATAACATTTCCAGCCAACATGCATGAAATGGTAACTTGGCTCTCTAAACTGTGCACTCATGTTTTAAAAGTGGCAGCACACTGTTGTGAATGTTTCGTCTCCATATAGTCAGATGCTAATACGAGTCTGAAAATGCTACTGAGTTAATTAATTTTGTACCTGGAATGACTCTTCAACAGTTTAAACAATTTAATATTCTTCTGACAAAGTAGTCCCCATTCCACAGGGTATGGAAGTTTATAACCATGCAAACATATTATGCTCTGTATCATGAGAGTACAGTCCCTTCTGGCAGCTATTTAGAAGTATGTACCAAGACTCTAGAGTCATTTATAGCAGGGAATGTGAAGAAAATTGAATTTGGATGAAACTTCTGAGGTATTTTTGGAAGGATGCAAATGAGCGGTGCCAGCTAACATTTAGCCAGGACACAGAGGTTAAAGCTGACTGCAGATGATTATTGCCCAGGCTGTAAATTTAATTTGGAAATTATATTTCCCATGCTGTCTGTGCCATTAGCTTAGACTCCTCGTATTTAGATAGAAAAATGTCTGTAGATCTCTGTGAATTTTCTGCAGATCTTTGCAAGACCTTGCCCAACTTCCCAACATTTTGTTTACGTGGTAATGTCAGTGCATGTCCTTTGAATGTGTGGCTTCAGGTGTGGGGAGAGAGTGTAGTAAGAAATGCTAACATTTGGGAGAGGCTGTTTTGTGTTTTAAAAAATAAGTTATTTGTGAGCACCTAGAGATTCACTTGACCTGTAACTTAACTATGAGTGTTATTTTTTACATGAAGAGAGTTAAACAAAATTCCTGTTTTCTGTGTTCTTTATTCCAATTCCATGAGAGTTCCATTTCTAATGTATTTTCTGTAAAGAATAAAACTCATTAGAATAGGACTTTTTATCTTTGAGAAATTATTTCTCTGCTGAAATGCAAGATCAAACAAGTAGCCGCACCCCAGGGTCAAAGAGTTGTTTTTTGGTTAAACTGATTTTTGATAGATGGTGTACAACATGAGGAAGAAAAGAGGAACATGGTCGCCTCTTGCTCCTTCCAAGGTCCCATTTTCTATACATATGGTAGATCCTTGCCACATAGGTAACATGTTTCTTCTGTAGCATATCCATGAGATTAAATGGCTCTACATTTTTCTTCCAATACAAATTTGTGAAAACACATAAAATTATATATGATCTATAAAAGTATTTGCAGCTTCCTTTTTGGCTGTTCCTTATAAACCTGTGAAATGCATTTTTTGTTTTATTGAGAGGATGCCTGGGGAGGGTGGCTACTCCATCCAGTCCATTTCTGGAGCATTTATTTTTGGGAAGGTGGTGCTGTTTATTGAATTCTTCTTTACTTACGATTCCAGGTTGAGGCTTTTCGTTATGGCTCTGTGGTCATCATCCTCCTCATTTCACCCTAAATGCTGGACTGACCTCTCCATACCTGGCTTTCTTCTAGTAACCCTGCTTGGAAATTGTTCTTATACACAAAGCTAAAGACTTTGGTGCTTTTTGGTTTCATACTGGCTGTTGTTACTGGGGCTAGCCCAGCATGGGATTTTCGTGTTTTTGAATGGAAAAAGTGTATCTCTCAGAAAAAGCATCCAGGCTGCATTTGAAGTCATCGTGTTCCACCACCTCTCCCGCTTCCTTGCGCACTTGGTTCCAGTTGTCTGTCAGCTTTACTGTCAAATTATTGAGGCTAATTTCTAATGTGAATTTCTCTATCTTGTGCTTTGTATTGACTGAAATGCTTTTTCTGTTTCCTGGTGTTTATCCCCTTGCATCTAGCTGCTGCTACAGGTACTTCCAAACCTTTTGGCAGCAGGTGTTTTCCTCATCCATTTAATAACTCTGTGACTCTTCTCTGAAACTTCTCCAGTAGTTCCATAGTCTCTGTTAAGTGTTATTAAAACTATACTCTAGACCTGTATCAGCTTCACTGTTACTGTATATGGTAGGAAAAAACGCCACTTTGCAGTCACCGTGCTTGTACCTTCTTAAGCTACAGTTGTGTCAGACCAATCTGGGCTTTCCAGGAGAGTTGTTTTTTCAGTGTTGCCTAGATCCTTTTTCAGTCACTGTTCAGCAG